GCACCCACCACCACACCACCACACCACCACACCACCACACCACCACACCACCAGACCACCAACACCACCAACACCACCAACACCACCAACACCACCAACACCACCAACACCACCAACACCACCAACACCACCAACACCAACACCAACACCAACACCAACACCACCAACACCAACACCAACACCAACACCACCATCACCATCACCATCACCATCACCACCAACACCACACCACCACCAACACAACCAACACAACCAACACAACCAACACCATCAACACCAACACCACCAACACCAACACCAACACCACCAACACCACCAACACCAACAACACCAACAACACCAACAACACCAACAACACCAACAACACCAACAACACCAACACCAACAACACCAACAACACCAACAACACCAACACCAACACCGGCACCAACACCAACACCGGCACCAACACCGGCATCCAGAGAATTCTGCCCCCCCCCACGTCCCCCCCCTGGGATCACCGGGACGTGGACAGCTCCCCTCCCCCTGGGTCGGCTCGCAGGTCTCCCTCACTCGATATAGTGGGGGGGGGCCCATCACCGTTTCCATCGGCATGGGGGGCTGCATTCACAATTATACGATTAAGGGAATACTTGACCCGCTCTTTGCCGGGATCGATCTTGGAACCTTCCGGGGGCACTACGCCGCGCCTATCTAGCATATCTATGATGTCGGAACGTACATCATACATTTACATGTCCTCCCTCCCCCAACGCTCAACCCCACATCGCTCCCCTTACCTCCGGGGCAGGTCGGTGGTCTGGATGTTGAGTTGGACTGGTCCTCCGTGCTCTCCGTGGGTGAGCAGCAACGAGTGGCGGTGCTGAGGTTGCTGGCGGCGAAACCCTGCCTGGCGTTCCTGGTGAGTCCGAAACGTGTGTGAGAAGTCCTGCGGTGTGGGTGGGCGTGTGTTTGACGGTGTGTGTGTGTGTGTGTGTAGCTGTGATGCCCCCTTGTGGCGTTTTTCGTCCTCCAACCAGCAGCACTCCTGAAACCCCTCAACCCCCCTCAACCCTCCATCAGTTTCGGTACTTTGGACGACACCAGTCGATTCTTTCGCCTTGTGCCTTGTGCCCCTTGTGCCCCCCCCCCTTCTCGGTCTCTCCTGTCTCCCGCACATCTGCCCACTGACCATCTCACTGACCGCATCCTGGCCTTCAACCGCCACCGCCACCACGACGCCAGGACGAGGCCACGTCAGCGCTGGACGGCCCGACGGAGGGACGACTGTACGGCCTGATACGGTAAGTACGTCGTAAAGCATTGCATTCTGTACGCAATCTGCAGCTGTGTGCAGTCCGTGTGCCCCAGGCGGAGGGAAGGGGGGAAAATTAAGTGATTGGGAGGCGCGGGGAGGTTGCTCCTTTCAACGGCTCTCAGGCTTTCTTTTCCGTCTTTACGTTTCAGTGCCTGCGCCCGCTTGCGCACATATGTGTATGCTCACTTACATGCATACTTACCCACCCACCGGAGTGTGCATACCCTTCCCTGCCCCTTTCCTTCCTCTCTTCCCCTGTTGCCCCCCCATGTCGTACCCCCATACCCCTCCCACACTACACTCGCCCCGCCCGCGTTCCGATGCGCCACCGATCACCCTGGACGAACTGTCGCTGCAATGCTGCAACCAAATCAGTCAAATGCACAGCTTAAGGGTACCTTGACCGAATGGTCGAATATCTCCGCCAGGGCCTCCCTTCCCTCCCTCACTTCCCCTAGCGGGGACTGTATTCGTGCCGGCAGTTGACCTTTGCCGCTCCTTGCATAACTGTCTTGATAAGATTTCCCCCCCCCCTCGCCCCTCTCTGTCTATCTACCTGTCTATCTATCTGTCTGTCTACCTGTCTGTCTGTCTGTCCTCAATCGGGCAGCAAGCGCATCGGCTGCTACGTGTCTGTGGGTCACCGCATGCAGCTGCTGCAGCACCACACCCACGTGCTGGAGTGCCTGGGGTCCGGCACATGGAGAATGGACACGTCAGAGCAGTACCAGAGGAGAATGGCCGCAGCGACCGGACTGCATCTTTGAGGGGATAGAGAGCGGGAGGGGGAGAGCGGGTAGGAGGAAGGGGTTGAGCCCCCACTTCCCGTTCGTGATCCCATCATTATGCGAGGGATTACCGTGCGTTTAAGTTAGTCAGTTTCAGGAGGGAGCTGTCGTCGCCGCAAGCCATCCTGGCTGCGACGTATGGCGCCACGCCACGTGCGTGATGTGATTCAATGGTCCGAGTCGCGAAACGGAAGTCCATATTGTTTATGCTACGTACCGATGTATGTGTCTTTATGTATGTCTGTATGTGCGCATGTGGCCTCGTGACCAGTCTATGGCCGGGATGACTGGGATGGCCGTACACCCCTGATAATGGCAGGGGGGATGCACAAAGGGGCCGCGGGTATAAAGCAGCGGCGGAGGGGTCTGAGAGGGGGAGAAGGGCAGTGAGAGAGCCTCCGGTGAAGCGCGCCATTTTACTACTTCCTTTTTTGACCCTTGGTGACCATGACCCGCGGGTAAATGCGATTTCTGTGCGTTAAGTTGGCGCACCGTACGGGGTGTGCTCCTGGGTTGGCTACTGGGCTACTGGTGGGGGGAACGGGAACACGCGTCGCTTTAAACTTTACATTAGGGGCTGTTGACACGCGCCAGCCGCAACACCGCATGGCCACGGACGCCCTCACCGAGGAGAACAAAAGAATTACACACCACACCATGCCTTGCACACACGATCCAACTAGGCAATATTAATATCAAAAATGATCAGATGATTTGATCCTGCTTTGATGGATTGACTAATTTCACAATTTAGATTTTCTCCGCTTGGTTACTTCTTCTTCATTAACATCGCACTGCAACCAGGATACTGTAGACGTCAAGCAAACCTACAACCAACGCGCACGCAGAGTCAGTCAACCACACACATACACACAACCGTTTCGCGTATCTGCAAGTTAGGCAATTCACTTATGGTCGTGTGTGCCTCACGCCACACGCCATCGAGTCCACACCCGGCCAATCGGGAGTAGTCCAAACGCCCGGCTGGCTACTTTTTGCACGGCCAGTCCCACTAGCCCGCTAATCCACTCAACCACCTGTGTAATCCAATTCGTGCCAAGTCCACCCACCTACCCACACTCGCCCGCCACACGTCTTGCATCCTGCATACTGCAATAATACTTTATCAACATGGGTGTCGCGGGGGTGCCTCAAGCCAAATCCGTCAAATAGCATCCACACCCCGCAGCGCTCTTCACACAGCCGCCTCTTAACAGGCTAACAGGCCCGATATCGCTGGCGCACCGCTACCTAGCTAAGGCGAGTGGCGGGCGGCGACAGCTATGTACACAAAGATCTACACGACGTCAGGAGACAATGGCACATGTACAGGGAGGAGAAGGTGCCGTGGACCAGCAGCCCACCCCAACGCGACACCGAAGACTCCGTCATATGCGCATGAATATGTATGCATGCATTCAGGCCATGTATGAATGCCAAGTCCATCGCACGCCCGTAACAGCCCGAAGTGATTTTCCCCTCGAAGACACGAAGCCGCCTGTGTGCGACGACCCCACCCTAGTTTCGGAGTTAAGCAGGGCGTGCTGCCGAACTATGCCTCTACGACGCCTCTTCGCGACGAGATAAAAAAGGAATCATGATAGTTGCCGAATCAGCCGTTTGGATGGAAATTAGATGATGCCTTTTTATTTACCACACACCCCCCGCCCGACCATCCCCATTCAAATATCTGGCATCAAAGACCCCTTATTCCCTCTCCCTCCTGCTCCTCCCCCTCCTGCATCCCCGTAGACCTAAGTCCCCCCGGGTAGATCTGAAATGAAACCTGTGCGGGGCAGTACATGGTGTACCAAGGCCAGCGTGTACGGCATAGTCGCAGCCGGGGCCCCGAAACAACAGGACAAGACGACGAATACACACATAACATTCCAGTACCGAACCGTCAACCGAAGCCATAAAGCCCTAATGGTAATTATACAGCGACATTGTACGGTATTGGTCACAAAAGATGAATCGCCATACCGTCCTCTATAGCGGTTGCTGCTGCTGCTGCTACTGTCGGGAGGCAGTATAATACGGGTCCCACGCGCAAAAACACTTCTGCCCAACTGTGTAATTAGGTTTGGCAGAGACACAGAGACCCAAGGGCATTGCGGGCCTTGGCCCGTTAACCTCACCCGCCCAAAGAAACGGCGAGAGCGGGATGGTTTGCGGTGTATGCATGGTGGGCATACGCACGTTTAAGTGGGAGCAGGTGACTCACTCCAACAGGTGGGGCATCCCCCCCCCTGCATCAATCGGGGTGGCGTGGGCGCCCGGAAAACCAGGGCGGCAGAGGCACAATCGAGCCGCGCACGCCTCTCCCCGCCCAGGCCATTTAGTGCCAGTTCATCTCACTCCGCGTGTCGTGTGTTATGTACGTCTGTGTAACGTGGAATATCGTGAGAATATCCTCATCCTGCGCAAATGGCGACTGCTCACACCTGCAAATGGAATCTGTAAATGTGCGCTCTTCGTGCAGTGGGCAGGCCTACACACGCGCGCTAGGTCCACAACGAACAACCCCGACATAGACATAGACATGTGCCCCTAGGGGGGCCCCCAACCAAACCGTCGAGTCGAACCCAATCGCCACCAGCGGGAGGGAGTGGCGCGTGTCGTATTCATTCTCAAAATGTGCACATTCGCCCCGTGTACTGTACGGCGCACGGGTGTATGACACCCGTGGGGTGTTTGCCTCGATGTGAAAGTTTGGGGTGGCCGTCGGCACCAGAACACGCACCCTTCTTCCCCCCCACACCACGACCAGAAGACGACTACACCACAAAAAATGTCGGTACGGTAACGCAACCGGGTGGCTTTACTTCCGGAACCACGGGTTGTATGACATCATCGCGCACGACTCAGGTCAGGCTCCCTCCCTCCCTTCCTCCCTCCCTCCATGCCTCCCTCCCGGGGGGCAGTTTCGGAATTTGGACGCCTTTTTCCGGCTTAGTTCACTTCTGAGTTCCTCCTGCATATGATTTCCCCCCCCCCCAAAACACACACACCACACATACCACACCAGGCGGCATAAGGCAACCTCCCATTCTGTCAACAGAACGGCGTGTGCTGGAAACAACTCAGTACAGCACGCCGTACGTCGTACTGCACGCCGTACGGGTACTGCATGCTTGCGGACGCCCCAAAGACTCATAACAACCACACACGAACACACACCGTATGCCACCTCACTGCAACCCATGCATACGTGTCTATGTACCTACATACGTACGGCACCTGCCTCCCAGGATCCGCCTCTGTACATCCTGCCAAACAACTCCTCCTCCTCCTCCTCCTGCTGCTGCTGCTGCTATTGCTCCCGCCACGCGGCGGCCCCAGCCCAGCCCAGCCCAGCTCGCCTTAATAGCTTCGATCGGGCACCAAAGCACATCCACGCACACCTTGCTGACGGCTTGAACGACGAGGCAGTCATCAACTCCAGGGCCAATTCTCCCCCCCCCACACACACACTTGCCACAATCGCCCGAAGCACTGGGCCGCTTCTGGAGCACGAATGAACGGAAATCTTCAGCGCACCCAGCCAGCCAGCCAGCCAGCCCGTTAGCCATCCGCCTCTCACGCTGCTGGCCCCACAGCCCCCCCCTCTACTTCACCTGCACCACCTGCCCCACCGCGGCCCCCGGCTCCACCTCCACCACCTGCTCTATGGTCGCTCGGCATGAAGGGCACTCGCTGGGCGGACGGACGAACATGAGGTAGGCGCAGCGCCGACAGAAGCCGCCGTGGCCGCACTCCAAAAACACGCAAGTCGCCTCGCCGTCGTAACAGATGACGCACGGGTTCTCAGGCTCATCCGGCTCCGCGACCTCGGGAGCGCTGGACGCAGCAGCGGCAGCGGCAGTGGTGGTGGCGGTGGCGGCGGCGGCGGATCCCGGGCTGTCGCTGCAGCTGTCCTCCCTCCTGACCGTGTGGCTGATCCGAGGTGGCGGGGCATTCCGTGGCCACGTCCTGTCGCTCCGTGTAAACTTCGGGCTCGGGAGTGCCGCCACCACCGCCGCCGCCGCTACCACCATCCTCTGGGCCGTCCTGATCGGCCTCAGCCGTGGGCAGTACGGCAGGTGACCGACTGGTAGATGGCGTCGACACCTGGGATGGCCGTTCGCCGCCGCCGCCGCTGCTGCTGCCGCTGCTGGCGTCTGGCGGCCTGGCGGGGGCTGCCGCCGGGGCTTGAACCACCGCCTCGTTTTCCAACCCAGCAGTAGCGACTCCTCCCGCGCCTGACGCTGGCAGAGCAGCGGCCTCCGCACCCTCCCCCGCCTGAGCGGCACACCTCCGGGCCCTAGACCCGGGCGGTGCCGCAGCAGCCACAGCTATGGCCGTCGATGCTCCTGCCGCTTGCGGTACGGCCGGTACGGCGATACTGCCGATTCCATCAGCGGCAGCGCCACGTGGTGCGGGTGTAGCTACTGACCCAAGCGAGGTGCTAGCCGCCGCCGCCGCCGCTGCCGCCGCCACGGCCGCAGCCGGCGAGGAGGGCCGCTGCGGCAGCGGCAATGCAGCCCGGCTTCGCTCATGTCCTGCTGTTGTTGTTGCTGCTGCTGCTGCTGCTGCTGCTGCTGCTACAGCAGCGGCGCCAGCGGCCGTTCCACCATTGCCGTTGTCGGCGCTGTCCCCGCCGCCGCGCCCGCCCCCTTGGCAGGAGCGTTTGGCTGCCAAGACGCTGTCGACTTGGGCCTGAGGGGTGGTGGTGGTGGTGGTGGTGGTGGTGGTGGTGGTGGTGGCCCGGGGGTTGGAACTCTCAGTGCCGCTGCTGCTGCTGCTGCTGGGGCATGTTGGTCTGGGGGCCCCCTGCTCCAAGGGCGGTTGCACATGGTGCTGCGAAGCGCCCTCGGGGGGGGGTGTCCTGGGGCTGAGGGCCTGACGCGGGGCCGCCGCGGGGCCGCTGGGGGAGAAGGAAGGGGTTGAGAGGAAGTGGGGTTTGGGGGCAAGATCGGTGAGGAAATCATTCCGGTATGAGAAATGCCGATCGGCGTTTTTGGAATGATTTTTGGCCTTTCGATAGGGGGGGGGGTGCTATGGTGCTAAGAGGATGTGCTCCGGGACGGGGATCCGCCCAGAGGGGAGGAATATCTTATGTGATCGCAGGATTTCGGTTGTCGTACTAACGGCCTACAGCTGCGGTTGTGGTAGTTGTGGTGGTGGGGCCCAAAACGGGGCGGCAAAGGGAGGGGGCCAGTACGAGTACGCAGACACAAAAGACGAACAAGACAAAAATGAAAACTTTCTAGGTGAACAGTAAAAACCCCAACATGTTCATATGCGGCAGAAAGTCACGACACGGACAGCTCAACCAGCGACCCCCGCCCCGCAAAATCCCCCAACCTCCCCATCCCCCCACACGCCCCCATCCCCACACACACCCCACCACCACCCCACCCCTTACCCCGCACCCACCCCCACCCCACCAACCCACCAACCCACCTCTCCACATCGCGCCCATCCAGCCCCCCAGCCGCCGCAATCTCCCCCTCAGCCGCCCCCGACATAAAGCAGCTCCTGCTACCCCCCGACCGCAGCCGGGTGGCCGCCGCCGCACTCGCAACAGACCCGGGGCGCACTGGGAGCCCGGATACAGAAACCCCAGCCGCCGCCGACCCTCCCGCTGCGGCGGCGGCCTCAGCTGCCGCAGCTGTTGCTTGTCCGCTGCTGGGAGACCCCTCCGTACCACCACCAGCAGCAGCAGCAGCAGCAGGAGGCGGTGCCGGTGCCACCCGGTTGTGCCGAAACGACATAGCGCCGGCGCGACCACCGCGACCGCCACCGCTCCGGCCAGCCGCGCGAGAGCTACCGCCGTCAACACCACCCACACCAGCAGCCGTACCAGCCGTACCAGAAGCAGCCACTCCTGCCACCGTCGCTGCCGTAGCTGAGACTCCAGCCGCCGACAGCTGTGCAGCGCCGCCCAGTTCCGAAACCACGTCTTGCTTCCCGTCGGCGGCGTCAGCGGCGGCGGCGGCCAAAGACGTCGCTCGCGAGGCCCCCCTAGCTGCTGCTCTGCCGCCGCTGCCACCGGCATCTACACGTCTGCTGGTGGCGCTGGCGTTGCTGGCGCTCCTGCTTAGCGGTCGCGACTGCCCTCCTGCCGCTGCCGCTGCCGCTGCCGCCTGCTCCGCCAGTGCCAGCTCCAGGGAGGCTATCCGCTTGTAGAGGTTATCCCCCACACGTTTGAGGCGGCCGGGCTTTGACTTCCCCGCCATCAAGGACTCCACCAGCCTCGACATCTGATCATGGTGACGGTGGATAAGGGTGCGGGTGGTGGTGGTGGTGGTGGTGGTGCGGGTTGGTGGTGGTGAGGGTGGTTGGTGGTGAGGGTGGATAAGGGTGCGGGTTGTGGTGGTGAGGGTGGTGGTGGTGGTGAGGGTGGATAAGGGTGCGGGTTGTGGTGGTGAGGGTGGTGGTGGTGGTGAGGGTATTCAAGTTGTGTGTAGTGGGGGAGGGCCGCTGGCGAATGCAGCAAATACCAGAGATAGGGGGGTGTCGGGCGGCCCCCTTCAGGCGTGTGTCCTGAGGCCCCCGCAACCAGGGGATGCGGAGCTAGGACTTCAATACTCCTTGGGAGCTCCCCTACAGCGCGCCTTTCTCCCCTGCCCCTCCTACGCACGGACACACACGCACTCACGCACTCACGCACTCACGCACGCACACACACACACACACACACACACAGGCAGAGACAGACATACAGACGGCATGGCGGCTGGCAGAGGTTAAGGCAGAGGCTAAGGCCTGACTTCTGCTCCCAGTCGACCCAGTCGACCCGGGTTCAAATCCGCCTGCCGGCTCCTCGGGTGTTTGAGGAGTGATGTAATGGGAGGTGGCCCCCCATCATATGGACGGTGTAGGACGTGATAATATCAACTTGCGAGCTGACCAGGAACTGAGTTGATGCGCCGTTGATTCGCTAGATTTGGTTGGATGCTGGTGGTGAGTTGCCAAACCCAACGAATACATTCTGAAGTCGGATGGGGTGACGGATTAGGGTGCCCCTCTAGCAGGGGAGAGCAGGGACTGCCCCGGGAAAGGGGGCCGCTGGCGAAGTTAACCACCCTGTAACAACATACATACATACAGACACAGAGGCAGACAGACGGACACGCGCATCCCGGCGGGGCTCCTCACCTCTTCCTCCGACAGCTCAGCCACTCGGCGTTGCGCCTCATCACGCTCCGCATGCAGCCTCCTCGCCATCGCCTCGTGCGCCGTCCACACCGCCCCGCGAGCCAGCAGCGCGTCCCGCACCGCCTCCTTCAGCCGCAGCGCCACCGCAATGACCACCGCCGACAGCCACATCAGGAACCAGGACAGCGCGTTGGGCCACATGATGCTCTGAGGGCGGCCGGGGGGGGCCGAGTCCGGTCAAGGGGGGGGGAGGGGAAAGGGGAAAAGGGAGGGAGGGGAAACGGGGCGGGAGAAGAAGGGCTGAACGCAGAGGTAAGTGTTGGTGGGCGGGGGGAATGAGCTAGGGCCGCATACCGGTGAGAGGGGAGCTATGAGAGGGGTTCATGTGTGGGGGGTTGCTGTGTAAAGTGCATTATGATGCCCCCATGGAAGCCTGGATGGTGGAAACAACCCTAAGGCAACTTTCCACCCCCCATGCCGCTCGTCCAAACCACCAAAACCGTTGTTGGCATCGTACCGCGACACTGGTCTTATGGCCGGTGCCATCCTCGCTGCTATCCTCCTCCTCATCGAGTCGCCGTACAAGTGCAATGTACGACACAAACTGGGGTACGGTAGACAGCAGTAGCAGCAGGAAGCCAATGGGCAGCAGCAGCTCCCGGGGCCTTGCCCAAACCTTGAAGCACATCAGCAAACTAAACACCTGTGTGTGCGTGTGTGCGTGTGTGCGTGGGGGGTGGGGGGGTGGGATGGGAAGGAGGGGAGAGGAGCGGGTTGCGGTGGGGTTGGGTTACGACCCCTCTCGGGCGGGAAGTTAAGCGGGGGGTTGAGGGCGGGTGAGGGCGGGTGCACAAGGGGAGAGCGCGGGTAAGGCTTCAACCGGTGCACCAAGGGGGCAGATCCTATCCTTCTCCTTCTTCTCCTCCTTCTTCTTCTTCTCCTCCTTCTTCTTCATGTCTGTCGCCACCACGGGGCGCCCACATCCCCCCATGCACCCCACCACCATCGCTCCAACCCCGCCACCACTTACACCCCACATCAGCCCTTTTTGAAATTCTCCTCTTTTGCACCCACCATCGCCGCCACCAGCAGCAGCCCGCTGAACCACATCCAGGGCACCAGGAACACGACGCGCCATGAAAAGGTGCTGCCGTCATCAACCTGACAGCAATTAGCCGTCCGGCGGGATGGAGGAGGTTAACGATAAAAGATACACACGTAGAAATTATATGAATACAATATGCGCATTTACGACGTAGAGGACGAGTACATACATACATTGGCTGCGTAGGGTGTTGGGTATTTATTAGGGTATTTATTGCGGAACTCGTAACAGATTCAGGATCGGCCTCCACGAAAAAAAAACACTGCAGTCTGAGTCGGGGTCGGGAGCACACAAGACTTGTGCTGTGTGCTCGCGACCCTTGTGCTGTGTTTCGGCTTCGGCCCCCGGCTCTCGCGGCCCACACTGTAATCGAAGTCATACATACACACATACATACATACCTTGAAGGCCACGAACAGCAGGAAGATGAAGAAGAGGTCCCGACTGGAGCCGAACATCCTCTCGGTGCGGTCCTTGAGGCACAGCAGCATGAAGGTGATCACCCAGCAGGCCCTGGAGGAGATGGAAGGGTGGCGGCGGCGGCGGCAGGAAGGAGACAGGCAGCCGTGTGTACACATACAATAGCCCGCCGGGGGAGGCCCGGGGGGGACAAGACAGAAATGGGACACGAAGGCATTGGACGAGCCAGTGCCACATGGATTTGCATTTGATTTGGGTTGTACCTGTGTATGTGTGTGTATGTGTGCATGGGAGAAAAAGGAGGGGGGAAACCTGGAATCAGCCCGCGCGAAAACCTTGGGCTGGGCTTTCAAGACTATGGCTGGATAACCCAGGATTGGGCTCCTTGAACCGCAACATTCCACCGGCAGAGTATTATCAAACAAGTACCCAATCACGTTTCCTGTTAAAGTTTTATTTATATACTACTATTCAATCATATGCTTTTGTGTGCCAGAAGCATGTTCCTTTCTTCGAAGATATTGAAAGGAGCGTCTCGGCCTTCTTTTGTCAATCCGGCAAGAAAAATCCAGTTATTCCATACGCTTGAGAAAAGGTCACTGCTTGCGGCTGTGATCTTGCTTGTCATACAGGGTCCACAGCTTCACAAGCATCTCGCCGCGCGCTCTCAAGTCCGTAACATAAACAACAGCGGTAAACAAAATAACACACGGCATAGTTAGATAATGGTTTGGAGATCCTAACGCTTGCAGAAGTCGGCAATTGGGCATCTCGGCCCTAATCAGCTAGGCATATGCACAATAACAACACGCTCCAGACATGCAATTGAAATAAGTGCTCACTTCATTACGCTGTGATAAGAAGTGCCATATCATGTCATGTCATGCCAGAGCGGGGCTGACTGCAAACCCCGGACGCCGCTGCTACATCCCAAGACAGTCCCTCCTTGCACGTTGCCAGTCCCACCCCCCTCAGCCTCACCAGATGGGTGTAAACATGAGTCGCAACGGAGTGCTCTTCAAAGTGCCCCGCTGCAGCGCATTACAAAACAACATCTGCAGGAGAGGATTCGAAGCAGCGCGACCCAATCCAGCCCGAGCGAGAGAAAAGCAAAAGCCGGAAGGAGGGGAGAAAGCATCAGTGGGTGTGACATCGAGAGGCAATACTGACGACGGGACCAGACGAAGTGGCCACGAACAGGCGGGTGGCAGCAGCCCGGCAAACCTGGTCTCCGCAGGAAAAAGGGGCGTGGCTACAGGTGCTCGATTGCAAATTGTCCATGGCGTACCTAGAAGCACCTCCCTCCAAAACCATCCCCCTGTCCCATCCCCCCGTGCCCTTCTCATGCACCGTCACGTCCCCACTCGCCTGGCCTGCTTTACCTCCCCCCCCCCAACCAGAGCCCCCTGCCCTCTACCCCTCACCTTGGCAAGGAATATCGCCGTGGACTCCAGCGCATTGTTTGTCCAGTCCACCCTGTGGGACCTCACCCTCACGTGCCGCAGGATGGTGTACTGCAACACCAGTCCCGGGCTGGCGGTGGACGCAGGGGGCGGCCCGATCTGCTTGTACACCATGTAGTCCTGAAAGCGGGAGAGTGTGTGCGAGCGCGAGAGCGAGAGACCGTGTAATCAAAGAAAGGGAGGTAAGGCGCGTAAGGGGGAATCACATCAAGAGATAAAGGATGGCATAGGAGAGGAAAGAGAGAGAAAGAGAGAGCGAGAGAGAGGGAGAGAGCGAGAGAGAGAAAAGATATATGCTAAAGGCCAAGGTATTGCTTGCCCGTCATGGTGGGCCCTACCATGCTGCTACGTTTCCCATGATTCCAGAGCTTTAACCGAGTGCCGCCACCCATTGGTTTGTTAGTCCCAGGTCCCAGGCGATGATGTCTCCAGACACAGCACCAGCTACCGGCTCTTCCCATTCGCGCCACCTCGCCGTACGGCAGGCCCTCCCTTCTTCCTTCCCTCTTCCCTGTTTAGAATCCCTCGTGTCGCGAACCCAACCCGACCCCGGAGAAACCCGCCCTTTCCCCCCCTTTCCGCGCCTTCATCTCTTCCGCACTCCCTCCTCACCGCTAGCGACAGCACCAGCAGCTGCATGGGTATATGTAGCAGGTGGTTGATGATGGTGGGACTGAAGACAGCCCACCAGGAGCAGTGGAGCCGTCCATCAAGCTGCAGGGCAGGGCAGCAGGTCGGCCAAGTCGGCCAGGTCAGCAAGGCGGATGCCAGGGTGGTTAAAGGCACATAGGTTCACAGGGTAACACGGGGCCCGGCTCAGGCGCAAAGCGGCTCTGGACAAGTGGGCCAGCAAAGATAGCGTACGAGGCAGGAAGGTAAGGGGACGACCTTTCGATATGGGGATGATGAGCATCGAGGGTTGGGGGTTTAAGGGATGTGGAGGATTGGGTAAGGGGAGGCTGAGCCCGCGGGGGAATCGATCGTGGCCCTGAGCTTCAAGGCCGGGCTCTCGAGGCAAGGGGGCCAGGAGGGCGGGCGGGCCAGGGGTCAGGGTCGTCAAGAGAGCGATGGCCGAGGGGAAATTTGTCCATAGCCCAGTGCGGAGTCTGTCAGTTGGTGTAGTGTACGTCGATAGAACATGAACAACAATTTGGTCATGATGCGCATGAGAGGGCACATGGTGGGATTCAAGAGCGCAGCACACCATGGGAGCGTGGCACTGTACAGCAGCAATAGAGAGAACTCAAATGTAATAAGGATGATCAACCTGGCTGTTGTGTGCGTAAGGGCGTAGTATCCGAAAAACAAAGCAGGATGTGCAGTAGTTGCAAAACTTTTTAACATGAGGAAGACCAATAAATTTCACCTAACATACCTTTTGCCATATAAGCACAGCCCAGATTGCATTTGTCAACCATTGGAGCGTCGCATGCGCCATTACAACTCGTGAATCGAGACGTAAGCGACTCGGCGTAAGAACGACGACCTCCTGATCCACTATATTTTCATCGCGAAGAACATTCCCTGTGAAAGACCCACTGTCCCGCGTCATCCCTTCAGTCACAGGCTCCGTTCCATTTAGCAGACGGTCGGCTGCCCAATTAGCACCAAAGTTTTCAATATCACTACGGCTGCCGTTATGTGATATATGCATTGAAGCTAGACGTGGCAAGGTATTAGTCGATATAGAACCAGGTGGACTCCTTTGCTCGCCATATGGCAGCTGGGAACTTGATTCCCTTCTGGGTTCAGCGTCAGACCCAGGAACAACAAACGGATGTTCAGCTGCAAAATCTATAGCAGGACCGTCGGCAGGTGGCGTTGGTGGCCGGACTGCCGCGTCCATGGTTGCCTACTCTTCACGTAACCCAGTCTACATGGAAGAATACGCGATATCACGTATTATCGTAAATCTCATTATGCATTGCACCCTCCAGGCAACAGGTGGAGCCCGTCATAAAATACGACAACACGTCAACAGAATTCTCGACGCACATCCAGCTCACATGAAGTCGACGGGAGCCCAACTGGCTCGTGCATAACCTTAATCACTTACACGTCAAGCGCCCATCCTGCACGGTCATACTCAATCACCACACGACGCTACTCCGTACGACGCGAACGTGCCTATCCGCGCCTTCTGCGACACCATTACACAATCGACCTATTCCATTCTTTTCCAAGCAAGCGGCGTCATAATTGACGCAAGCCGTGACCTAGCAGAATTTCAATCACTGATACCACCCTTTCCTTTTTACCGATATGAAGAGGATGGCTGCGCAGACGCATCAGCGAAAAATGCCGCACACAGCACCGTTCGTCCAGTAACCCTATCCGCTAAGAAACACAAAAACATGTGACCCTCTCTTCCATTTCTAACCCAGGCAGGTCCGAATTATATATGTACGATGCTCCAGTCTAGCAATCAGTCCTATATCCCTTAGTGTGTGGTTGTTACAGTATATCCCTTAGTATTGCATTATTATCCTTAGTATTGCATTATCACCCAGCCGCCGAGGCGCTCTGCGCTGCCGCAGATGACAGCAAGGGCGCTTCCCAACATCAGGCCGACCCGCAACCCAAATGCGCATCACTGCTGGGCTGCCTGCGCGAGCTGGGCTGCCTTGTCCTTGTCCAGCGACAACGCACACACCTGCATGCAATACGCAGCATGCAATACGCAGCATGCAATACGCAGCATCAATACGCAGCATGCAATACGCAGCATCAATACGCAGCATGCAATACGCAGCATCAATACGCAGCATCAATACGCAGCGCCTTAAGCACCAAACCTCCCCGCAGCAGCACCACCCAGCAACAGGCACACAGGCTCGTCATTCTGCTCGTGTAAGTGGTCACAGCCACGTACGTACGACGTAACTGCCCTCAAGAATAAAACCCCGGAACCCCGGGAGAGCGGGAACAGCTACAGGCGTGCTTGGGTGTGTGCGTGTTGGCCCCGTCCCTGGCCCCCCCCCAATCTCCCCCAGTCCGCCGTGGTTTTCCTAACAGATCATCATCTTCATCTTCATCTTCATCATCATCATCATCATCATCACTATTAGGTATCAACCGCTTGAGAACCCGCCTACGGGACTCCCCCGACCCCGCCCTCCGCGCTGTCGTACAACAGCTGCCGTACCTGTGCACATTCCGACAGGCAATACTGTCTTGACCGGAAGCCCTCCTTGAACACCACGATCTCCTTCCTCACGCTGATGGGGCCCAGCCCGGGTGCGCCTGATCAGATGTGGTGGTGGTGGTGAGGGTGGCGAGGGTCATGATGGTGCTAGTGCTTAATAACGGCGGGTAGCGCTTCTGCCCCTCCGGAATGGGGGATGGGTGCGGTTCGGGGCTCCTACGGGAAGCGCTCAAGAGCTGCCCCCCCCGGGCCCCACCCGGCCCGGCCTGTGCGGCGGGCAACTGTACAGGGAGCCAGAGTGCGGTGAGTAAAGTGAGGAGAGTGCCCGAGTGCGGGCCCGATGACGCAGCCCTTGCCTACCCCTGGGGTGAGCAGTAGCAGTAGCAGTAGCAATAGTAGCAGTAGCAGTCGCAGGGCGCTGCTGTGCCCAGAGGACGGTCAGGAAGGCGAAGCTGCATGTTCCGTCCCACCCCATTTTCCGGTCCCTCATAACCCGAGAACCTCACCTCGCATCCCTCCGGCCCATTTTGGACATACAGACACACATATACACACAGCCACAGAGAGACAACCCAACCAGCCCAGTTCTTACGCACCTCCCCCCCCTCGTATGCAAGTAGGAACGCACTTCCGTATGCATCCCTCTATCTCCCGCTTCTTAGGGCCGCTCACGACGCTGCTCAGAGGCGCTGCCGCCGTCTCGCCTGACCCGGGGGGGGAGCAGAGAAGGGGAGAGCGGAGGGAAGTTGACGGGTGACAAAACACAAGAGACACATATCCGCGAGTGGAGCCATTCACACGTTTGGGCACCAAAAATGTGCTTTCCTTTCCTGCGCCATATTACTTCACCGCAACACGCAGCAGGGATACCCGATGACGCCGTCTAGGCCAGAATGCAAGGCAAGCGTGCAAGCAGCAGGTTGCTGCGGACGTAGTTGTTGATGTGGGCAGCGGCAGGGGTGGGCGGCTGGGCAAGTAGATATGTAGGTATGTATGTTTTCCCGGAAACACCTTTGGGTGGCTTCGGTGGGGTACCCGAAACCGCGCTTCGCGCGGCCCCAAATCCTTTCGAATCGCTCCGGGGTGTCTCGGTGTTCCTTTCGGGCAAAACGGAGTATTACACAAAATGTTCGCGCACGAATCGGGGTGAAGAACCCTGTAGTAGGTAGGTAGGTAGGTAGGTAGATAGGTAGGTAGGTAGGTAGTCAGGTACATAAGTAGTTAGGTACGTAGGTAATTGGGTACGTAGGTAGGTAGGTAGGTAGGTAGGTAGGCGCGCACCCGAGGCGCTCAGCTGTGAGGGCACATTCTCAAACGTGTCCATGTCCGGGTCGGACGCCGCGATGAGCGCCAGGGAGGGTGGCGGCAGCAGCGCCAGCTGGTGATTTAAGAAGAGGGTGGGACACGAGGGGGCACAGGGGTAGTGGGAGAGGGACAGTGGGAGAAGGGCAGTGGCATGACTCCAGCCTTGTGGTTGGATGGTTATGAGATTAAGGAAAGGGTGTTCAAAATGTCTTAGGAAGGATTACTTCGGGGTCATGTAAGTTAGGTGTACGAAGTTGGATAGGCTGTTGGCCATGTGTACGACGGAGGGAAAGGGTGAACGGGCTGTATGAAAAGGTACAGGACGGAGGAAGAAAGTGCTACGAGTTTCGGCGTTAGCTGGCTGCTTATATGACTGAACTTCGCACCTGAAGGCCAACACAGCACAAAGCCACGAAGATTCCTGGGATCCAATGCCTAGCGGGTTGGCCTTGGGGGTTCCGGCCACCACGCACGACTGCACCGCTCTCGTCAAGGGACCCTGATTGCGCGCTCAAGCTCCGCTCCACAGAAGAAACTCTGTCAGATCTATATGATGGCTTTGCTTTCGTTTCCTGCTGCTTGCAGTGCGCCTCACAGCAGGCTCGCAAACGTTGCATTTCTGACAAATGGACGTCGAATTGCTGATATGGAATCCAAGCAAGCCGTTGTGATGTGCCTTGCACCCGTCCATTAGATGAATGTTTGCATCGTGGGTATGACTGCATTCCTTGAACGGCAAGCGAAAAGGCCTCGGCTAATGCCCGGCGACAACTATTGTTACAATTAAAAAACGCGATGTCTAGCGTCCGAACATAGGAAATCTGAGGACTGTGCCTCGCCTGACCTTCTCGTTGCGAGATATTCGCGATTTCCTACCAACCGTCTTCACAACCGCCTACCATCTCGGCAGCCGGCCCATGTCAAAGTCGTCATTCCCCTTGGCCTAAACACAGCCTTCCAATAAGGCGTAACAGGATAATTTGTAATCATGGGCAAATTTTATGCATTATCATAACTTTGCTCCTCTTGACACGTAGGCTTTGGGCTATTTTTTGTCTCTCCAATAGTCTACAGATTGGAAGCGCTCTGGACGTGCCTGCCTGACCCGCAAACCGGGATTAGGACATTCTAATGGCGGGAACGAATAATCTTGAAGCAATTTATTGCTGCCTTCATGGCTGTGGTGTGTACCGAACGCTCTTGCGTCCATGTAGCGTAGAGCATAGCCAGCCTCACCTGCATTCGACTGCACCATGCATAATTCCTGAGTATCCTACTTCAAAACTCCCCAAGCCCTGCTGATGTTGGCGCCCCTTGTGGAGCCGCTACCTCTATGCCGTCCCTGGCTGGGCCCCGACCCACCCACCGATGGTCCTTCAAAACGAACCCCCTCTGGTATGAACGACCCCATTAGCGCACACATGTCGGAGGGAACGCGGTTTTCATCAAGAGCATCATCACCGTAGGCCGGCACTTGTGCGTCGGCCCCAAATCCGTTTTGTAGGCGGCGAGGAACACTGGAAGGCTGGTGTTTGCAAACTCGTGGGTGCGAAAAAGAGTTGTGACAGAAGGGGTCGTGAGTGAGCGGAGCACTGGATGAATAAACGTACACATCACGTTGGCTACACAGGTAAAAGAGGTGTATCTCGAAGGTATCTCGCGTGTTGCCCCACGGGGCCGCCCTCGTAGCGGACACATGATGGGTTGCTGGAGGGCGTCTGGAAAAGCCGCCTGGACAAAGGGAAAACCTAGCGAGAGTGTTTATCCCCTTTTTTCCGTTGTTGAGGTGCTGTGTGATGATGATTGATATGATCATTCGTGGATGGATGGGATGATGAAGTTGGCAGGCTGATGGGTTCCTGGGCTCTTCGCCGGCAGCATCTCTGCATCTCTGCATGTGTCTGGTACTTGACGTGTGGTACCCTGGGGTCAGTGGGCAGACAGAGGGTAGGGATTAGGCAGTAGGCAGTACATGTTGCCGTACTGACGTACGGCCAGTGTTCCCCAGCAACGGACGACCCTCAAGGTGCCCTACGTTAACTGACGCTGTTATAAAAGAGCGTAGTCGCTGGAAATTCCATACTTGTATTGTAATTTTGTTACAGTCAGCAAAGCGCCGGACACCACTCTCGCCCTATTTCTGCTCTCACCATTTACTGGCATCTGAGTGTCGGATACCTAACAATAGATTTAACGTTAGTGGATAAGTCCACCGCAAGATCTGAAGTTGAAATCGCGTGATGTAAACGTGTGGCATTTTCAACGAACGAACAAACGGCGGTAACCGACAACGACTAACGTAACCATTGACCATCCGGTTACTGGAAATATCGAACAATCGATCATCTCTCGATAAACATCCCACATTTGGACAAAAAAACGTACTGCATGTGAAAAATTTGAGTGCATGCAAAAATGAAAACAGAAAAGACGTGAGTTTGATCGCATTATGGAAATGATAGCTTCATTCCGTACGTGTTTTCAAGTCGACACCTCCTAGCCTTTCGACTACGCCCAAACGGTAGATCCGCTAGAGGACAGAAAATTCTGCATGCGTCCCTTGCCGGTACGCCTGGCGCCGCACGAAATGAAGGTATGGGACGTCCTGATTTGGACTGTACTGTAGCCGCTACACGCGCGTACCCAAAGTCTGCACCGAATATTAAAGAGTGACACACGTTGTGCACCCGGGACCTCGTGGTTTGGGGAGTGTTTCGGGTCCTCGTTGCATTTCGCCAACCTCGGCGGAGCATTCATAAGGACCTAAACTACGACGGCTCACCGATCTCTCTAGCTAGAGAAACTGCTGCATTGGGCTGCTGCTGTACGGCATACACACACACACGCATGCGCCTGAAAAGGCCCGGCACGGCCATGCATTTTTAAAGCCCATGCATTACACACGCACACACACATGCACGCACGCAACAAAGGAAGTAGAACCGTTTTCGTCGTTCGGCAGCAATAATGTTTCTTGAACGCTCGCACGCACGCACTCACGCACGCACTCACGCACTCACGCTCGCAAATGGTACTCAGCAGGCCCAGGGTCGGAACCCCCCTTGTACACCAGCTGTGAATGAATGTGCAGCTGTGGGCTGCCGACCTGCGGACTGCACAAGAATAACAAGAGCGCACTAACGCCCCATTAATGTAGCTGTCTACCCCGACCGTTACCCCGGGCCCCCCCCCCCCAAATCAACGTAGCTGCACAAGGAAACCTGTTGACACCCGCGCGCTGCTCACCCACCGCTACCGAACATGACGAACATGATGAGACCCGAGATCTGCTCGCACCCATATGGGCACCTCATAGGTGCATTCCAACTAAACAGTACACATTGCAGGTGCCGTACACTGCTGTGTGCACTGCATCAACATGCACGGGTGTAAATGAAGTATTTATTAGCCACGAACCGCCTGGCCCTCTCACCCACGCCATTTCCATAGCCGTCAGAAACGCCGTCCATTCTCCGCCGTACATGAAGACTCATAATGATAAGACACACGCACGCACATAATCCATCCCCCTTTTAACCGCACGAAACCACCACCACCACCACCACCACCACCTCCAGTACCCTCCTGGCTAATCACTAACGAACGGCGCACAGCCACACGAACAATACCCGGTGCCCACCTTTCAATCACTCTCACCCCATGCGCATGCTGTGACAGCAACTGCTGTGACAGCAACTGCTGTGACAGCAAGGCCAGGGGTGACCACGAAGACAAGAGCTACCTGGGCCGTGCAAGGGCCGTACCAGGGCCGTTCCAGGGCCGTACCAGGGCCGTACCAGGGCCGTACCAGGGCCGTACCAGGGCCGTACCAGGGCCGGGGGTACGCCCGTGCACTTGTTAGCCCCCGTTGGGGACCCGGGGGGGATATCCCCGGCTGCTAGTTCCCCAGCTGGTTGTTGAAGCTGTTGGTCGACCTTCATTGGCCAGGTAGTCAGTCCCGTGGGGCGGTGGTGGTAATGTCGCTAATGCCAGTGATGTGGGTGATGTGGGTGATGGCTATGATTGATATGATTGATATGATAATGCCGGTAGTCGCAATGACGGTCGTCATGGCTGTGATGCTGGTGATGCTGGTGAGGGTGATGGTGAGGGTGATGATGCTGGTAACGATGACGCTGGTGACGCTGATGATGGTGAGGGTGGTGGTGATGGTGACGATGATGATGGTGAGGGTGGTGGTGATGGTGACGATGATGATGGTGAGGGTGGTGGTGAGGGTGGTACACGCGAATCGTTGGATTCCTCCGCAAGCAAAACCAACGGAAGTGGCGATGTTGAAGAAGACGGAACCAGTTTATAAAGGTACGCGGCAACAGAGCACACTAACATTATAATGGTGACAAGAACGGCGGACACGGCGATGGCGACGGTGGCAGAGGTGCCAGCGGTGGCGACGAGCTATTTAGGCGGCGGCGGCCGCGGCAAAGGCGGCCGACGTGGAGGCGGCAACGGCCGCGGCGGCCGCCGCGGCGAGGGTGGTGGCCGCGGCGGTGGCGATGGCCTGGGCGGACGTGGCGGTGGCGACGATGGCCCTGGGGGCCGCGGAGGTGGCGGTAGCGGCCTTGGCGGCCTTGGCGATGGGGGTGGCGAGGATTGTGGCGGCGGCGGCGGCGGCTGTTGCTGCTGCTGTTGTGGCGTGCTGATGAGCTGCGGTCCGTCACAGTCTGGATCCAAGTCATCCTGTGTAAATGTGTGAATGAGAATTACGCGGAGCAGCGCAGACGAACGCGGGGAGGGTAGGAAGAAGGAACATCGGAAGTAAAGCAGCAGCAGCAGCAGCAGCAGCAGCGGCAACAATGCCGATGAGGACATGACGCTATTCATGCCCCTGGCCTTTCAGGCACGTGCGCCTGCCCGTGCTTGCTTGCATGTACGTGATATTACATTTTCTTACGTAGATGCATCGTCATCGGGCTTGCTCTGCCGGGCGGAATGGTACCCCTCAGTCCATCCTATGAAGGAAACCTGGCACCACAGCCCTATGACGGCTATATAGGCCTTACGGCCAGCACAGGAAAGCCGGAAGCTGAGTAACAAATGTAGGACACAACGATGCGCGCTCCTAACCACACAACCCACCCAATGCGTTTTGAGCCGCCTTGTACCGGGTCATCACATTGGGAGCTATGTGTGCTGACGTGAGCAACATTCACATTTAAGATAAGCATACAACAGCACATACAAACACACATATACACATACATACATATATACATACACATACAGGCAGGTGGCTGGCAGAGGTTAAGGCTTGGCTTCTGTCCTCGGGCGACCCAGTTTCAAATCGTTCTGGCAATTTTCGGGGTGTTTGCGAGATGCTGAATTGGGAAGGAATCCCCATTTTGTGGACGGTGAAGGACGATATTATCACAATATCAACTTTCAAGCTAAGTTGAGGCGCCGTTGATCCGCTAGATAAGGTTGGATGCCGGTGGTGAGTTGCTGAACCCAACGAATACACTCTGAAGTCGGAAGGGGTGAACGGATTAGGGTGCCCCTCTCGCAACTGCCTCGGGAAAGGGGGCCGCTGGCGAAGTTAAGCACCCTGTAACAACATACACACACATAACAGCACAACGGCTCCCAACTTCGGTCTGGCACACCCTCGGCCTGCTCGCCAATCCACGCAACCAACAACCAATGCAAACCCACCACAAGACCATCGCAGTCGTTATCCAGGCCGTCACCACACGAGTCGCCACCCTGGGCCTCGGAGGTGCCGCTGGCCCGGCAGACGGTGACGACGCAGCTGCCGGCGGCAGGCGTTATGGACTCGACTCGTACGATTATGCCGTACGGCATAGTAGCCTTGTATGTGCCTCCAGGGTTTATCGCAGCTTGCAGGGACGACCGGATGTATGACGTGGCAGCCTGTGCGAACGCGTGTGTGTGTGGTGGTGTGTGTGAGAGAGAGCGAGTGTGTGTGTGGGTTGCACCTTATGGAGTTTTGTCGCCCTATTAAAACCGCACATACATACACACACGCACACCACCTCCACCACCATCACCACTACCGCATGAAAGCGGGCACTGCAGGCTGCAGCCGAGCTCGTTGCCGTGCCGACCTGCCGTCGCCCGCCTGTGAGGCCTACTGCCCGCCCACCCAACCTTCCCCCCCCCCGCCACCCATCCCCTCTCACTCACTCACTCCTCCCCCCACCCCGCTACGCACCTACCTGCGTCACGCGGGATGTGTGCACATACACGCGGTTGATGGGTAGTTCGAAGTCATCGAACGGCGGCTGGTGCATGCGCAGAGAGACGTAGTACACGGGTGCGGGGGTCTGTATGTCGTTCCGGGTCTCGCTAGCCGCGAGGGGCACCCAGGTGGGGTCTATCCGTATGAGGGACTGGGGAGAGCGGCTCTGCGCGGGCAAGGTGAACCTCCGGGGTCGGCCCACCGGCAGGTTGGTGCCGTTCAGGTCGGCTCCAGGGAGGGGCGATATCCAGCCCAGGCGCCACTGGTTGGGGGAGTTGAAACAGGTGCGACCCCTGACGGATAGAGAGGGGTAGAGGAGG